GGAGGCAGTGAAGAGTTGTTTAAGGGGTGAAGAGTTTCAGTTTTACAAGATAAAAAGAATTCTGTGCATGGACAGTGGTGATGGCTGCACAACAATGTGAATATATTTAATGCCACTGATCAGCACACTTAAAAGTAACTAAGGTGGTAAACTCTATTTTATATATGTTTTATCACAATTTAAAAAACTTTTTTTTGAAGAAGATAATGTCAGGAAAACCCCTCATGGGCAACTAAACCCCATATATTTTTGAGTAAACATTTTGAATGAGGGCCATGCTGTTGTTTGTTTAGCTTCCTGGCAAAAAAATAGATACAAACATCAACATTTAAAATGGTTCTCTTGGGAACAGAGTTCAGAAATATATGATACCAATGTCTCAAGACCAAAGACTGGGATATTTGGCATGTGAGAAATGGGCTGGACCTGCATTTCTAATAGAAATGACCTTAACTGTGTGTGCACAGACAGGGGCTGCCTACAAAGACTCAAGGAATCTTGCCCTCTCTGCACATGTGACTTTTGTATGTGGCTCTCAAGGACCGGAACAGTAAGAGATCTCCTTCCTTCTCTCACATCAGTGAGACAGTTCCTAAAACTGTGTTTCCTTGGACCACCAGGTAATCCTGAGCCCCAGAGACACAGTGGATATTCAGAAGCTTCCAGACAGACGAGAGTGTGGAGACAGCACAGCCCATGACTAACCAGGCTGAATTAGAGCTTCCCTCTGAAACCACAAATGTAAATCAGTTTGAGTGTTCTTATTTTTATTTACCACACAGGTCTTTAGAGACAAGATCTAGGCTGAAGACTTCAGTAAGGATCACGTTCCATTGTTTTTGTTTTGTTCTGTTCTGTTTGGGATTTTTTCTGAATAGGGACTCTGAATTTTTACACTAAAAATCAGCAAATGCTGCTCCCGCCCCACGCACGCACACCTCTTTACACAGAAGGCGGCTCTCCTCCAAGCCCTTGATTCCCCCTCAAGTCCTGCTGGGCTGTGAGTTGGCCTGGCTTTCGGGGAGTGGTGTGATCAACCAAGAATTCACAAAAGCATACTGAAAAGACCACTGAAAATACGCAATAACTTTATGTTTCTAGAGAGATCAAGGCAGGGAGTAATTTAGCAGGAAAAAAAAATCCAAGTCTGGGGCTAAGTCTTGGGACATGGAAAACTAAGTCCCTGAGGGTGGATCCCCTATTGTAAATCCCAATGGTTTGCAATGAAGGGGTCAGAAGGTAGTAAAAGCCGTTTTTCATATTTCAAGCAGTCTACTGGAAACTAAGCATCTGCCTGGGATGTGGTCACACGGGCTCACTGAAAAGTCAAGTTGTTTTGTGTTTGAGCTGAGGCCTCTCCAGCCAATGTGGTAACACTGGTTGTCTCAAACCCATCAGACACTCGGGTCAGCCACTGATGACATCGAGGGCATATCCGAGATGAGATTTTTTCCCTTCCCATTTGCTATATGTCTTTGATTTATAAAAATGGAATTATAGCTAGATTAATACTTCTTCGTTGCAGTTTGGAAGGCAAAACCTTGCACAACCCTGGGTTCACCAAGGAATAAATGAAAGGGATCCCTGGTGGTGAAAAGTTTGGATTAATACTTCTTCATTGCAGTTTGGAAGGCAAAACCTTGCACAACCCTGGGTTCACCAAGGAATAAATGAAAGGGATCCCTGGTGGTGAAAAGTTTGAGAACCACTCTTGAACCTCCCCACCCCCCACCCTGAACACGCACAATTCCAAGGGAAAAAACAGGTTTCCTTTGAAACAGAGTGGAGCATGCCTGTTGTGGGAGAAAACGGAAAGAGAGACTGTGTAAATTAACGGCATCTGGTAAGGCTGGGAGAGAAGGGG